TAAGAACATGAGATATTTTTGCCCCCAAGAATCCCTATAAGTTCATTAAAGTTCACTTTGGGCAATGGTTGGCTTCTACCTTAGCATTGCATTTATATTTTAGTTTTAAATCAATTATTCTTTTTGAGCTGTTCATGCTGTCCATTTTACTCTTTTTTTTTTTTTGTAACAAAAGTTAGCATCCATTTTTTATTAAAAAAAAAAAACTTAAAGGCACACATAAAGTGTTCAATGGCTTAAATTAAGCTGTGGAAGAATATTTAAAAAAAGGCAAGAAAATGCACCATCTTTTCTATTTTAAAAGTACAGAGGAAGTGGAAACCAGATTAATAAATTAATGCAGTGTTCATCTAGGTGAAAATATTTGACAAGTAGCATGAAAAATAAGCATTATAAGGAATATAAGAAGGAACAATAAATAATAATCTTCCTTATTTTTATATAACCCTCTGTTGACTCTTAGTCACACAAGAAAAATTTATCCACATGTGATTTATTTTTCAACTCATTAGGTGTAACAATGTTTATAATCAATTTGTATAACAAAACATTAATGACATCCAGTGCAGAGATGATTAAAGGAATAGGATATGAGCTCTTCTCATCCCTTTGGAGACAACAACAAATATAATTATTTAGACAATTTAGACAATGCCCATTACAGCTGGTTAATTGCAGTTCATCTGTATTTTGCCTTCCTGAATGCCATTTAAACCCAAACACAAGTGTGTATGTTCAAATGTGGGGTTTTATTTTCTTTTTTAATCTCACTTGGGTAGTCTGAGGACCTGATTAATTGAACAACTGAATAATTTACTTATTGCTATTGTACTTTTTATAAATTATTTTCTGATAGCAATATCACCCTTATATATGAGCAGTTGTTTATCTGTTGCATTGCAAGCCAGAAAGTAATTTCATCACTCCTAATGGGACAGCACGAGGGTACAGAAACTGAAAATGAGCAACCAACCTCAGAATTTACTCCCCTAATGCACTTTTGTGACTTCACGGTATTTTAAACTAAATCAAGGTACAATTTCAAATATTTTAAGTGGATGGATAGGAACTGGTAGAAATTTTCTAATGAAAATTTTAGTTTGCAAGCCCTGAGGAACTTGGTGAGGTGCTTGTGAATAGTTCTATAAATCCTTCATAAGATGTTCTTAGGAAGACTAATTCCCAGAATTCACTTAGAGACATTGCCAGGTCTCCAGTCTGCAGGGCTCTGGGTATTTCATTATTTTTCATCTAAAACCTCTCTGTTATCAAAGCTGAAAAAAACAAAAAGCCTTGATTTGAATCTTCCCCTCTCATTGCTGATTAAAATTTAGTAGAGAGCAGCACTCAGCCCTGTCCCTGGGATTCTGAAGGAGGCAGAGCCAACATCTGGCTCCAGGGAAAGCAGAGGGAGGATTTTTATTAGGATTTTTATTTGGGTTTTGTGGGTCCACACTGAGGCAGGGAACGGGACAGGAGCATCCCTGGGCGGGTGCAGGTCCTTCTGGCAAAACCAAATGGGTCCTCTCTGGAATGTGTGGATTTCCCAAAAACCCAAACAAACACCACTGTGGGATGAAGCCCTTTCCTGAGCCAGAGATGGGGCAACTGAGAGAGGCTTTAAAAAACTTTTATTCCATTTTCAGTCTCATACAAGTGTTATAATTCACACAATCAGAGATGTTATAATTCATCACAATCAGAAGCCAGCTGATTTTGGGCTATGGTAGAAGGTGAGGGAGGTTTTGGGGAATCAGTTTGGGAGTTGGGGGATGGAATGGATGTAGTTGAAAAAGTGGAGGATTTAGTAGAATGTTTAAAGATGTTAATTGTTGTATGATGGGAGTAACTTGGCTGTTGTATGATCTTTGTTTTTGGTAAAAGCTCTGAGCAAACACCTTCTGGCCCTACAAAAAGTGCAGCATTTCCTGCAGAAAGTGAAAGCAGCTCTGTGCAAAGGTCATTTAAGGTACATTTCAGCCCATTTCAGCACCATCTGACATGCCTTAAAAAATGTAACTGGCATTAACTGCTTAATTATTTGAACTTGGGCATTTATGATAAATAACTGCAGTGGACTGTCTCAAAAATCAAACATGATACAAGGGAATAAGCAGCTTGGTTTTACCAAAATCTGAGGCAACAATTAAATAGGGAGATAGAAAAATCTTTTTCTCCTCCAGTAAAATCACTGATCAAGGCCACGGATCCACTCTACAGAGTTTATAAATCTGTTTATTTTTCCTCCAACAGTGCCCACATTAATCTCTCCAAACCAAATCACTCCCAATGTAGGTAGAGCAACAAGGTACTGATTTTGATTTCAACCTACAAATATTTTTTAATAGAGGTCTCATTAAAAGAAAAATGCCAGGTTTTTTGTGGTTTACATGCTCGTATTTTATCCACATATGCAGCTTAGAGGGAAATAAATAATTCACACAGATGAATTGGAAATTAATTTCTCAAATTCTGCAGATAAACAGATATACAGATCAATTACCTAAATACTGAAAATTAAGATTAATTCTAGCAGATTTTCTGAAAATCTTAAAAAGATTCCTCAAATCACATACTTTGTAGGACAGCACAAAAAGAAATGTCTATTTGAAACTTAGATTCAAAGAACTACACCATTATTTTGAATTTAATGTAAATGTTGTATTTTTCTACTGTTTTCAGTGGAGAGAAATGAAGCAAGCAATAGGAAATCAATTTCAACTAGATGCAAGTAAATTATAATTTACTTTAAAAGCGCAACTTTGTGGTTTTTAAGTTGAATTCAGAAAGAGTCAAAAAAAGGAGACAAATCTAACTATTTTGTTTCCAAGTTTACCTAATTCATACACTCTTTTTTAAGTACTGCAAAGGAGTTTAAAAGAAAAAAGAAGGTGGAAATAGAGCAAGACATTTATATTCTCCAGGAACACAACGTGGGGTTTTGGTGGCATTTTTTATGCATATGGTAATGTTACTAATAGCCATTTTAGTATGTAAACACCTCAGGAACTGAATTAGGAGATTGCAGAACAATAAGTTGAGCTTTTTAACAAAGAAGAATTAGAAGAGGAGAAGGAGTTATTTTAGTTAATTTCAGAAGAGAGTAAGGAGTTCTCTATCTAACAACATCTAACAATACACATCATTCAGTGATCTCAGTGTGGATGCTGCTTTAAGGAAGAAAAGTTTTACAGGCACAGGACCAGCACCAAATTACGATGAAGTAAGAAAAAAAAAACCTGGTGAAAGTTAAAAAAATTAATTAAAAAATAAAAAATAAAAAGTTAAAAAAAACTTTAAAAGAAAATAAACCAAGTATGAATAAATATATAAATATTATTTGTTTGTTTGTTTGTTTGTTTATTTGTTTGCTTTAAAATAAAAGTAAAGCAAGAAGCAAACCAACAGAGAAAGCCCAAATATACACATCTGTGGCTTGGCTTCCAATTGCCAAATACTGTAATGGAAGCTTATTGATCAGAGCAAATCCACAGCAGGATCAAAACCAACACCAAATATTTTTTGTCAAATGGTGACAGGAGAATTCTGGAAGATTGATAAAGCTTTTATTCAAGAATAAAGGAAGAAAAAGGCAGCCAAGCATGTCAGCATTTTCCCCTCTACCTTGTATGATCGGTCAACTGAAAGTTATTTTGGATCAGAACAGTTTTTCTTTTTTCAATCAACTTTCTCTAGATTGCCCTTTGATTTCTGGAACAGTTGAAGTCACATTACCTATAGCAATGCCAAAACCCCATACTTAGGAATAATCTGTCCCATTTCCACATATCCTCCATGAAAGCCAGGAAAAACAGCCTCAATATCTTTGTAGTCAGAGAAAAGACATCACAGGTATGCAAACCTTGAAATGGAAAGAGGTGGATGGAATAATTTTTGGGGATGATGAGGTAACTGTACCAACTTATAAATACATAAATACTTAAATCTCAAAATATAAAAAACATGAAAATATATAAAAATATATAAATACTTCTATTCATTGGAATTATAAAAGACAAGGCCTCCTTTTCTGTAGGCTTCACAAGTGCTTACTGAAGAGTTCTCAGGTAATTTTGAAATGAATGGAAAAGAGCTGCTCAAATTGGTGAGGAAAAGTCAGGTCTGGGTACAGCCCCAAGGCACTGGGAAACCACAGGATCATAACTGCTCACACAAACTGCACAGAGAGCTGGAATGAAAACAGGAGGGACAATTGGGAAGGAAAGGACAGTTTTCTAAACTTCAGCTCATTCAGAATGATAGCAAAAAAAAATGCCTTTCACTTCAAGGTACATTGATTGTAACTAAGAATGGACTGAGGCAAAAAAAAAAAAAGGTTGGAAATAAAAAGAGGTTTTGCATCAAATTAAAAAAGAATAAAGTAAGAGAGAGAGAGAGAAGTAAGAAAATTCTTGTGTACACTTCATAAAAGCTAAACTCTTTATATGTCAGGTACTCTCACCATGCTGTTTACCAAGATAAAATACCTTGAATTTTTGCATTGAAATATGTTCTCTATAAGTTGACCTACTAAACTTTAAATTTACATACTGGAGAATAATTTCCATCCTGTATGGGATTCATGTTTGGATTTATCAGTGGTAGGCTGTACATGGAATTTTGGATTCCACAGTGTTGCACAGGGCTCTGTGCTCCCCTGGCTTACAGGGAATACAAAAGAGTGATTAGACCCAAGAATTACAATTCAAATACTTCTCCTTTTGTGTCTCAATGGTGATGTCCAGATTTGAAATAAGAAGAATAAAGGAATAAAAAGAACAGCCAAAAAAAAAATAAAAAGGGGGATAAAAAAAGGTGGCATGCATTTTGGAAAAGGGAATTTGAGGCAAAATTTAAAAAGATGCTCACTCTTTGTGACTTTGATGCATATTAACCTTTAAAGTCTTGCCTTCTTTATCCCACATTTTTCTGTCATGGCTTGTTTATTTTACAGGTGTGAGATATGCAGACTTGGATACCAGTGGCACTATCTGGTTTAGATGTATTTTATCCTCCATGCTGCCAAAGGCCAATGATTTGCAGCTGGGTGTGAAAATAACATTTGACTCTGCCTGCAACATGGCTGCAAGGAAGGGGAGCAACGGGCTGTGCACTTGTTTATACAAGAAAGATAAGAAGAATTACTTTGATTTGACAGCATGCTGGAGACTGATACCAGTGTGCCCAAGGAAGTACTTTAAAGTCAGAATTTCAGACACACAACTTGGTGAGTCGAATGTAAGCAACAGCAGAAGTGTTTTATTACTCAGTTTGGCACTCATCCTTCTCATGCCACCAGCGATGCTCTTTCAGTCAGGCAGCCATAAAACTGGTTCACAAATATCACCCAAAGCTGCCTCCTATATGGAAAAAGCCAGGGGAGTTTTTGGCACACTGGTACGTTCTCGGAATCTGTGGTATTGATGATTCTGAGATTGTAGAAAGTCTCTGTCTCTCAGCCCCCTGCCAAAGCAGAAGCCA